TTAGGTATCGCAATAGGTAGTCCTTTTACATGAGCCTTATTACTGACATCCCTGGGCTAATTGCGTTATTAAGTTGATATCTCTGAATATACTTTTGGGGGTAGAATAGCCATCAATTGAAACTGAAACTGTCAATGCTGCCACTATTTTTTAGTTAGCGCAATTTTTTTTTGATGCCACAATAATGATATCAAACAATTGCCAAATCATTCGTTAACGACGGATTTTTGGTCATGTTCGAGATATGCAAAAGATTACCATAAGCCGGCGCTTATCTAGGTTTCTATGCAGCATGAAGCGACAAGCGAAGGAGTATTGGAATTCCTGATGTCAAATATGCGACGATAATATAAAAAAACACTAAGACATGAGACACACTAAAATGTTCAAAAGAAAAGCATTGGAACCCAGATTTAGATTTTCGGGGCCTGGTGAGAATATATGATTGATTATTCTCTACGCATAATTGACTAACCTTTTCGTACGATCTACAGCACCGCCAACTATGCACACCGCAAAGGCAGTACTGACGTTTTTCTCTTTTCTGCGGTAAATCTTCAACATCCTGTGACCACGAAATTGATGCCTAAAAAAATAAATGTTGAATAAACATGTACAGTCAATTAGCTTTCAGAAGAAGAATGTGGTGATAGGAATGTCTAAAGCCGAGTACAACATTCAATGGTATGGGCCTAATTTTAACTGCGACTGACTCAAAAACGTGCTCGATGACCCCAAATCTTTATATTATAGAATTTTGATTAGCACTATAACACGTAACTTTTGGCAATTTTTGAAACTCGTTTGTACATATATACATGTTGAATTGTTTTGAAATTAATATGGGAGATAGTAGAGAAATGAAACTTACTGGCTTGAAATCATGTAAGGCGTCACTGCGATCCACTCCAGGGTGAGCGGCAACTTCAAACAATTCTGTTCGCTTGTTTGGGTCTACCTCCATGTTCTCGTTGTATTCTTGCCCGGCCTCCCCAACGTGAGCAGTGAGATCCACAACCTTGTTGGATAAAATGGCGCTTATATGACACTATATTCTCGGGCAAGAGTAATAGNAGTGAAATATGATGTTGATGTTTGCCAAGTTAATTGTTAGACTGTCAAGTTGAATGTTGTGATCAACTCTGATTTTTGGCGGGGATGGAACTCCATAGTATTCTTCCCCGGCCTCCCCAACGTGAGCAGTGAGATCCACAACCTTGTTGGATAAAATGGCGCTTATATGACACTATATTCTTGGGCAAGAGTAATAGTAAAAGCAAGAATAAACAAATGATATCAATACGTAAGCTTACCTTTTGAGGGGAAATGTGGGACTCCTTTCTTTCGTCGTGCCTTTTGTAAACAGGGTTACCAGAAGTAGAACTTAACAACACGAATATGACGAATAAAAAGTACTCCATTTTCTTGGGACTGCCTGGGACGGTGAATGACAATATATTCTGTTCGCTTGTTTGGGTCTACCTCGATCTTCTCGTCGTATTCTTCCCCGGCTTCGCTGATGTGAGCAGTGAAATCCACGACCTTGTTGGGAAAAATGACACTTACGACGTAAATATATTATTGATCAAGAGTAATTGGGGGAAGTCTGAAGAATAAGGACATCGATATACACCTCTTTAGGAAAAAAATAGGACTCCTTTGTTTCCTCGTGGTTTTTATAAACAGGGCTACCAGAAGTCCAACTTAGCAAGACAAATACGACGACGAAAGAGCACGCCATTTGGGACTTGGAC